TCTAGAGATGCTTAGCAGCATCTCTGAGCAGGAGGTAACTGCCAGAGGATAAAAAGAGCAAACTAGATGCCAAGACAGAAAGCACTGATGAGCACTAGCCACCTTGGTCAATATATCTGTAAATCTCCAGAAGGTCCTGGGAGAAAAAAAAAACCTCATCCAGCTTTCTATTTCTTGAACTGATAATCTTCCCATGATATAGATTTTCACTATACTTCCTAAAAAAGAGAAGAAATGCAACCACTCCTAAAGGTTGCATTTGCTAGACAAACAGAGAATTAGCTGAGCTTGCTTTAAAACACACATGCAAATGTATGCCAACGAACAAACAAATATATATATAAAAAAATAGGCCAATTAAATTTCTTTCTCTAATATGGTCAGTTAAAATTAATTCTGACACATGAGGCAGCCTGAAGCCAGATGGTTTGTCCTTGCTGTGCTTTGAAATGAGAATTTAGAAAGCAATGTCTTTGTCAGGCTGAGCATGATCTAACTAAACACATGGCTTTTTATTGAGGGAGACCTACCTATTATGGTGTTCTTGTCATGGGAGTCATATATTAGACAAAACAATAGTCTGACTTCTATAGAAGCAATAACAGGAAAATGGAAAGCTGTGCAATGTTGGGTTTTGGCAGCAGGGAATTATTAGCAAATCAAAAAAATCAGTTAACTTTCATTTAGAAATAATTTGTATTGAGCAGTCATGAGTCTGGCATGAACATTACAGTTTAACAGCTTAATTTATGGCATTTGACCATAAACTTTGCCAAAGTTTGTGTTACCCACATAAACACTTAAAGTCTCAAAATATTTCCAGATATATTCTTCTGGCAATTTCTTTTAAAAGGAACCCACTACTGAACTTTTAATACTTTCTTGATTTATATAAAATAGCATTTGTTGCGCTGGCACTGCTATTGCAACTATCTTGGCTGACAAATGAAAGCACCATACTACTTACAGAATCACAGCATGGTAGAGGTGGGAAGCAAACTCTAGAGATTGTGTAGTCCAACCCACCTGCTCAGAGTTGGTCAGGGCCATCTCCAGTCAGACTATAATATTTCCATGGATGAAGATTCCCCAGTCTCTCTGGGCAACCTGTGTTTGATCACCTTCATGGTAAAAAGGTGTTTTCCTGTGTTTAAATGCTGTCAGTGTGTTAGGCAGAACTGGGGGTCCTCAAACTGGGGCTACCAACAGCAGCTTTCCCAGCATCTGAGATGGAATCAGCATGCATTAGAAATGGCAAAGCCCTCACACATAGTGTGACCTTGTAAGGCCAAGAACTAGAACCTGCCAAAAACAGATTCAGTCAACCTTGACAAACCAAAAAAAAAAAAACAAAAAAACAAAAACAAAAAAAAAAAACCAAAACCCATGAGCAATACATTCTGAGGTAGAATGGTGACTAACCACCTGGACCAAGGGAGGTGGGTAGGCTCACAACTATTGTGCAGCATATCCTGGAGGAGGTGAGGCAGAGGGAGTGCAGAGGGAAGGCAGCAGGAAAGGGTGATGACATAGTTTGATAGAATTGATTTATGAATCACTGACTTTGTGAAGTTAATTCTATATTCAACTTTCCCTCTGCTGCTCCCCCACTCCTAATAAAGTTGTCTCTGTTCTAAACCCTTGAAGTCATTGTTTGTTACTAGGGAAGTATTGCTCATGAGGCAGACACAATGTTCATTTAATTTCCCAGCTTTCCCAGGAGACTCTTGCAGGTATTATTTAAGGGGTGTTTTCAAAGGAACATAAGCATACTGCCCATCTTTACTACCACAACACCTCCACCTAGACAGCTTAATACATCGGTCAACATTTGCAAGTCATCAGTAAATCAACAGTGAGGAAAGGTAAATTGACATAAATATCCTATCCTAACTGAATAATTTTATTAGCTTTGCTCCAATACAAACAGACGCCCTCGGAGACGTACATTCTCACTGGAGACTGGCAGTAAAAGTGTTAACTGCATGAAAAGAAAGCAACAGAATTATGAAAGCACACAGACAGGTAAAATTTTCCCAAAGGCTGCGTGGGAGCCTGTATAGTGGGAGAGTGTGTAGTGAGATCTGACATAATTTGGCTACCGTGTGTGCTACCGTACATGGAAGGAAGGAAGTCTCCAAATGGTGGATTTAACATGACTCTCCACAGCCACATCACAAAGTGCCTGGGAGTGACTTGTCCCTCCCAGCCCCTGTGGGAATCAATCTGAGGAAGCTTGATGCTATAGAGATGTTTCCTGTATATTGTGTGGGAAACTCAACTAAGTGCAAACTACTGGCAACAATGAGACAATAAATTATAATAAACAGGAAAAATAGCATTGGCTCCTGAAATCAATGGCTGGAGCTCATGAGACTTTCACAGCATTGATAAATGAATAAATACAACAAAAAGCATTGGGTTTTAAAAGAATGGGGGTTTATCTGCACTGAAAGTCTCATTTTCTGCTAACTAAATACATGCAAAAAATAACCACCACTAAAGGACCTTGGCTGAGATTTTCAGTGCTGGAAAGGTGATTTAGAAAGCTGCACAAAACTCCAGATTCTGATTCCTTTGCTTGGCCCTGAAAACAGCAGCACAGTCTGAACAAACAGCCACCTTCTAGCATCATCTATCCCGGTCTGCTACTCAGCCTCCATGAAATTATCACATCTGAAACATGAGCCAGCCCCTTCCTTCTGAAAAGTTATAAAAAATAGCAACAAAAGCTGAGAAAAAAATACTGGAACAAACTTGCTGTCCAGTGAAGAAGAGCTGGAACACTCTGAGGATCAATCACTGTTCAACTTGGCACATATGCTACCTTACTGAATTCAAAGAAGTGATCAGTACGAGCTGAAATGGGTGGGAGCATGCAGTACTTCAGCGGAGACACTGGAACACCTTGCAAGCACAAGCAAACTGCAGCATTAAGCACTTTTCATTTACTGCCCGTGTGATATTCAGGCTTTGCAAAAGAGCTTAAGAAAACGCTTAACTTCAGCTTAGGAGAGCAGTCCCACCAGAGGCAAAATTAAGTCCAGTCTCCAGAAAGCTCAGGATCTCGTGGTGCCATGCCCTGAGTAAAAATGCCTAGCTGGGATAAAGCAGCAAGGTTTAGCTTGCATTAGACATCTCTTCAACAGTGAAAGATCTGACAGAAGCCAACCAAAGATTTTTGAGGGGACATGAGTAAACTCTGCAGAGTGAAAAGTTACTCTTGGGGAAAAAAAGAAAGACAAAAAAAAAAAAGCCCCAAACCAACAAAACCAAAACAACCCAGCAGCGGGAGTATGTAAAAACACTGCAATTGTTCCTGAGTTAATTTATTTCAGTTAATTTTAGCTGAATCATATATCAGTAGAAGACCATGACACAGGAGCAATAACGTGCACAGGTTTTTACAGAATATGCATTTTGAAAAATGAACTGGATGGCTTGTTTTCTAGTACTCCAGAATGACTTGCTGAAGAGAATGAAAGAAAATTGATACACTAGGACCTTTTATTCCAGACAGTAAAACTGCCCAGTGTAATGGAAACTGGCTAACTGACACATGGGAAGCAATGCTAGACAGTAACTTGGCTGTTGAATAGCTTCTTGTGAGAAGGCAGTCAGCACTATGAAGGCATTCAGTGCTATGGTTATTTAAATAATGACTGGAAGGAGGAACACTCATTGTCTCAATTAAATTTAAAAAATATAAAAAACTGTAGACAACAAATAGTGTGAGAGGGTGCATAAAGTTTGATTTCATACGGAGAGGCAGTCTTCAGTGGGAAGAGAACTGCACTGCTCTTGTCATTGCAGAATGCTGTGTTCATACCTGGGTACCTCATCACTGATACATGCAGCGTACTCTAAGAGAAGCATGGAAAACAGTTAAGAACATGCAAGAAATGATTTAAAAAATATCAGAGTTAAGTATGCCTAAGCTTGGCTAAGGCTATAGAACACAATAGCAACCCCTAAATATTTGAACAAGTTAAAACTTAGCAACAAGGGAAATAACCAGATTAACAACAAGATACAGAAAAGTGTTCTTACAGAGTGATCCATTAATATCTGGGCTATAAATGATAGAAAGCTTGTCAGCAAGCACATTCAAAGTTAGATTGGACAATATGCTGGTATAAGTACAATAAAGAGTTGTTCTGTGCTAACAGTTCAATGTACTTGATGCCTTCACGTTTTCCATTTCTTCAAAGCAGATAAACATCAGGATAAACAAAACACATCACCTACCTTTTACCTTATGAACGGTAAAGTTATTAACTTAATACAATATTTCTGAGAATTCCTCATTTTAGCATAAATCTTCACTTGTTCACTATGTATGAATAAATTGCTATAAGAGCTGAAAAGTTGTTGCGCTACATGCCAGCTTCATATTAAGCATCATCCTAAATAGTTCATTCATCTCTAAGTGCTTCTTATATTAAACTATATGAAGCAAATATGATACCATCTAAACAACAATCAACTGTAAATACAAAGGCAGCCGTTGCGGCTGTCAGACTGAGCTGAAGAGGGCAGCATAGACTAATAGCAACTGCAGACATACAAAGTCCAGAAAGTACTATGGATTTGAAGGAGGTGGAGAGGGGGATCTTTAAGACTAAATGCACGCTGATCTGTCTTACGGGTGATGCTCAGTATATTTGAAACCACAGGAAGTTGTTACCAGCCCTTCATCAAAGAGTCCCCCCAGCCTCTCTCATGGCCAATCTGTGGCCAATCTGTGGTCACCTTTTCCAAGGTGACCTCACTTGATGTTGCAGCTAATGTTTGCACTGCAAGGATTGCAGCATATACGTACCTCATAGCTTCTCAGGTCACCTTCCTTTTGCACCCCAGGCCTCCCTCCCTACCGTCCTCCTGAACATAATATTTAGCTAAAAATATCTTAGGCAGGATTTACTGGGGTAAAATATGAAAAACTCTTTTCCTGTGTAAAAGGTCAAGAAAAATGTGGAATTAAAAAAAGAAGAAAAAAAAAATAGTTTATTTGGTGACAGTCTAGTGCAATTGTGCAGTTGCATTTTTTTATGTGATCCTTCCTTCTGTTCCAAGTCTTTCCACAGACTAAAGACACAAGATCTGGAAAATGTCCCCTCTGGAACTGCACCAAAATCTTACCTCAGTAGCTGTATCCTCGTGCCATCTTGTCTCCGATATTTTTCCTTTGATGGCCAGGGCCTGATTTTTGCCTACCTTTTGTTTTATCTTCTATAATGCTTTTGGCTCAGAACACAGTCTGTGTCCTATGGCCTTCAACTCTTTTCTTCCCACTCCATCTGGCTGGTTTTCAGTCATTTGCAGTTTTCCCTTTATAATATTTTTCTTTTCCTTCTAAAACTGAAGCAAACACAGGTTTTAAGAGGACATTATTTCTACAAAATGTTTTGCAGTCCTCTATCCTAAACTTCATTCTTCTATTGTTATGTTATGCTCTCTGCACATACATGCGCAAACATGCACACATACAATGAAAGAGTTTAACATAAACATTTTCCTAGGGTTACAGGGTGAAAGTGATCTCAGGCTGACTACGTATTTTCTATGAACTTAGCTATGTTCAGAAAACATAGAAACAAAAAAAAATTATTATTATTATTTGCATTGGTATATCAACTGGAAGATTCGTCATGAACTAGAACCATAGTTCACTAGGACCTTTAAAAGCACATGCAAAGCTAACTATCCCCCTGTTCCAAAACTGAAAAAACTTACCATAACAGTGTATTGTGAAGTACGAGCGGAACTGTTTATTTGCTTTTTTTGTAAAGTGTGGATAACTGCACACAGTAAAAGTGAACAGGTCTCTGCTGTCAACCTCATATGCTCTAACAGAGGAAACAAGGAAACCCAGAGGCATAAATGAGTAACATAAAAGAAGTTAGCAACACAGGAATAGAAAGAAGATCTCTCTACTCCAAGACCAGTGCTCAGCAAGGCTGGCTGTTCTTTCAACATTCTGTAGTTTAATCTTTTTAGAGATAATTAAAAATAATGACCTTCAGTAGTCACCTTTTCCTGGCTGTAGCGCATAGGATAAGGAAAAAGTCTTCCTTTTCATTTTTTGCTTTGTTCTGTACCCATCACCACTGTGCATATTCAAATATGAATTAAAAGCAAATTTTGATTTTAACATTGTGAGTTATTTAGCAATATTGTTTCAGATACTTGGACTGTTAACAAGTCATAACAGAGTCTAATCATTCTGCAAAATTCAGACTTCCTTTTCAGCATTAATTCATTCAATATCCCTAATACAAAGATGCAAAAATGTATTTTTAAGAAAGGAAGCCCAAAAAGCCAAAAGTACAAGCCCAAAAATTTCTGAAAACAGAAGTCTCAGATACACTAAATCTTTTTTTTTCTTTTACAACATAATTGAAGATCCTTAAAAGTAAAAACAAAAAACCAAAACACACACACAAAAGAAAAAACAACCAAAACAAAAAAACACAACCAACACTACCCCCAAAACAACAACAACCCAACTACAGAAGAAGTCCTGACCTTTTATTCTGATTCTTTAGGAGGAAGGAATTCAGTATCAAGGCAACAAAAGTGCCTACAGCCGTATCTAAAGCAATGAATCACCACTTATTCTTAGGTTCACGAGGAAAGCTTGAAAGTCTGAAAATGGCATATTTGTTAGTCCATTTTTTTTCTGCAAAGCTGAAGAAAATCCATGACTTTTTCAGCAGAGGTAAGAGTGATCAATTGCATATGTATATGTACGTGTGTCTATAGGTACACATGTAAGGGAAAAGCGCAAAATAAGTCTGCCACCCTCTTTCCTCTTACATCACCACTCTGCTGTGATCCAATCTCTCTTGTAGCACATGTAGTAAATCTGCAGAACCTTGTTAAGTAATAAATGAACAGTAGTGGCAATTCAAATTCTGCTGAGAAGAGTACACAGCAGTTTCTGTAAAGTGTTGAAGACTGGCAGAACTCCATTGATCTGAATTATTTGGGAGCCACAAGTTTCAGGGTAAAAAGGCCATGCTGAAGAATTTTAGAGTTCAGGTAGACAGATGTCAGGAAGAGCAAAAATAGTTACCATGTGTATGAAGATGTTCCTCAAACACAGATGGTAAACCTGATGTGATACAGTCTCCACCTCCTCCCCCAGATCCCAAGAAACTGCCTCAAGCACAGCACAGCCGCCAATTTCAGCTACTGCCTGTGAATAAAGCTAAATGTAGCTTACCTATCAGTCACCACCTGAAGAAAAGAAGCCTCTTGCTACTCAAGGATGTTTGAGCAGATGACATGAGTACCTTCCTAATACCTTCAAAGTTTTCTGGCTGAGCTAGAATTTAGCTAAGGGAAGGATTCTGAGGAAGCATTACACATACTTCCTTCCCCTTCTCCCCAAAACTATGCTTTGGTCTGAGCTTTAGTTGTTACTGATGTTTTTCTGAGGGTGAGTTACCCTTAAAGACCAAAGGCCTGAGGACACTATCTAGAAGTGGTAGATTATGGGATCCTGGACTCTTCCACTGCGGAAAGAGTCTGAAGAAGTAAATGACCCGAGGCAAGCATTTTGCATGTCCTGTTACTGCATGAGAAGAATATCCTGTGTTTAAAACAGGCATCCATTTCTCCTAGATTGCAATGGCTGTTCAAAGTGGCCTAGAATCTCAGCCAAAGTTGAGACACTGCAAAGGCTGGAAAGAGGAATCGCTAAAACCCAAGAGGCTCCACTTTCAGCTGACATTATTCCACTTACATACCATCCTTCCAACATTACACTTAAGAAAATTAGTACTATCCAAACCTTGATAATGGAAAGACAATCAAGCAACACTGTAGATGCTATTACAAGGTCTTCAAGGAGTGATAAATACAGCTAAGGTCTATTTGTCTGACAGTTTGGCCTGTGAATACAAGTAATACCAAACAATATACATATAACAAAGAAACACTATAGAACCCAGAATGTGTCCCTGAGGGATACCACATGACACTGAAGATACCAGAGATCAAAGCAATAATTTTTACAAAATAAGAAAAAGAGTACAATTATATCTGACAGCTGAAAGAGTCAAATGCCACATTGAAGTTCAAAAGCATCAGGCAAACACAGTAATAACCCTGCTGTCTATAAGTCCACATACACATTATTTGGATAGCTTTCAGAGAAAGAGAAAAATAAAACTGAAATTACATATATAGCTTATCTGCAGAGCTGTTTGCACTAAACTTTGACTGCAATGATAGTGCGAAGGAAAAGTTCTTGATTTTCAATGGACGTTACTTTTGCTGCCATAATTCCCTCCTACAGCAGCCGCCTTTCTTAAAAGATAAAAAGCATCTCCCACATTCGAGTAATAAAGTAGATAGGATGATCAGATAGACAATTAAAAGGAAAAAATGTGAAAGAAATAAAATCATGGAACAGACATAACAAGACAAGACATGACATTTGATGTAATCAAACCACAGTTATTCTGCTAGTTACTCCTCCACTTTACCTATCCTTCATCTGTGCACTGCCATCCTAGCTTATAAAATCTTTACCAAATGAAATTCATTTTCAGACTTGTCAAAAATGTCAGTAACAGACAAACGTCAATTTTATGAAGGTGTTGAAATGCACCAAAACATTTGAAATTTTCACAAAAGCTAGCTGGCAAATACAAAGGAATTTCCAATAAATTGGAGTTTGTAAAATTCAAGTTTAAAATACATTTTAATGTCCACATTTTATTAAGAGAACCAAATATGGTAAGTGATAGTGAAAATGGTAATTCTGAAGTATAACTGCAGAAACCCTCAGCAATCAAGTAACCCCTGCTTACAATGGCTGGTTTTGGTCAGGGGCTGCAAACACATTGTAATTATGTTATTAAACTCTTTGGGGTTTTGAATGTTGCCCAACATTGGAACAAAGACCTTTCTAAGCATTCTGGGCAAACACACAAGACAGAGAAATAAATTTGCAGGAAATCTGATCACCCAGAAAACAGACTTGTCACATGTGTTTGGCTAGAGAGAGCCTGAGATTGCGTCCTGGAACCTCCTGGGTGCAGGAGGCCCAGAGTTAAGACTCTGTTCCAAATCAGATGGAATGGAGAGCTGACTCTGAATCTCTCACATCTTGGTGGTGGCAGTGTCTCTCCACCAGACAATCTGCCCAGAACATGAGAAGTCCCTGTCATGGAAAATTTTGGGTTGGAGAAATGTGTTTTTACAGGAAGATTTTATTTTTGGCAATTTAGCATTTTTGTGAGAAAATGACCAGTTAAAAATTAAACCCAAATAGCAGAAAAAAATTATTCCATGGACGCCATCTAATTACTATATGGAGAAAATTGATTAAAAGCTAATAACAATGCTAGCACTAAACAGAGTATTTAAATTTAGGGTAAAAAATAACAGATGGAACAGAGATATATGCAGAGCTCTTACATTCATATATTCATCTACTTATGAATATATTAGCATCTGACTCACAAATAAAACATATTGAAATAGTCACAGCAACATTATCTACCAAAAAAGTCCATCATGAAATTTTTCACATGCTACTATTTATAAATGTAAGCTTGCATAAAAATCAGGTTTTTAAAAAATTATTGATTCTTTCTGTGCAATTAGGAAAAGGGAAAGACTTTTCTGGTTAGCAGATTCAGTCATGTACCACTGCCATCAATAAGACTCTTGCCATCAACTTCAATGGGAAAAGAATTATACCCTGTGTTAGCTTTCAGCAATTACATTGACATTATCAGTGATTTACTGAGTGGTATTTCAAACATGATACCATATGTCAGCTGATACCAAGCAAGTCTGAGTGAGAAAGTTCTGATCATAACCACTTGGTTAATAAATATCACAGCTATTGAGCCTCTAGAGCATTTAAACTCTGACAGCCAGGGCATCACCATAAAAAAGATCCTTGAAAACCCCTAGGAGACTCAGCTCTAAGTTCAAATGACTTCCATTTAAGTTTCCACTTCTCAAGTTGATTAAAATTCAGTACATAGCTCTGATTTGAGATCAAGCAGTTCAGCTAACAGGGAGGCTGGACATTTTCTCTTGTTGATAGGTAGAAGTGGGAAATAGTATTGCTTCCACTTTGTGATTATGTTCAACCCTTTCAGATGTGCCTACATCCTTATGAATTTAGGCTGCTGAAATATGTTTGCTTTTCTGATATACATTTCAGAGACCTTTTAGAACTGCCCCACAGATCCAGGAGGTTTTGTAGCTGCAAATTACTGCTGTCCAAACAATAGTTTAAAAAATGTATGGAAATATTTTTGTTCATCATAATTAAACTACATGTTTTGAATAGCTATGTCATTTTTATCCTGTATTGGTCCAAAGAATCTCCAGGGAATTATTTTATCCTCTCTCTTTTACATCACTTAAATGACAATAATTACAGTTATTTCTAATTCGAAGACATTTGAGAGCAGAGTTGGGCCATCTGCTCTTTAAAGAACATACACTTTCTCTTCTTCTCTCGCTTTATTTTAGTTGCAAATTATGAACATCTAACTTTACTCTTATGGACTTCATATACAGACATCTTACAAGTTGTTCAGTATTATAAGAGGTCTAGAGAGTTGGAGTTTTCTCTGTCTGTACATTAACTTCCAATAGATTTGAATTCTCTGTTAATTCCCATGAGCTCTCTTGCATTTTGACACTTTTTCCAGTATCTAAAAATATAATAACTCTTTAGCATTTAGGAAAGCAAGCTAAAAAACTCCAAAATTTCTGCCTCTTTTAAATTTAATTTTTCTTCAAATTCCCCAAATACCAAAACCAAAGTGAAAACAGGGGAAAAAAAAAGAAAACAATACCAAAGGAAAACTTAGCCAGTGTAGTATTACTACTAGTGCACACAAAAATACTAGCTATTAACTTTCATTTTAAGCAGCTTTTCTGAGTTAAAGATCTTTCAAAAGACCCTAATTTCAAACACATTTTGTTAGAAAGGGCTGTTTAGATACGAACAATAACAAAAAACAAGCTACTAAACCCACAGAAGCAGTTTAAATCGTTATATTGTCTGTTTTGAATGATGTTCATGGAGAAGGACATCATTAAGGAAAGGGCAAGGTAAATAATGAGGAGCTATCAGCTGCAGAGAAATAAAAAAACAGGATTCTACAAGCCAGGAATCATGGTGCTGCATCATTCAGTTAATGGTCTAAGAGAGCCTGAATTAACATTAGAGCTCTGGACTGAGAGATCAGAAATGCAGGAAAAAAGAGAAACTAGAACATCCAGGATAAAATCAGCTGCTGTGTGTACGGGCCAGAGGATGTTATTTGGCTGCAGGGCAACTGGTGTGGATCATCAGTTTGTACATCAGCCCATCAGCCTCATGCTGCTTAACTGTATTTTTTCAGCTGGGAAGTATTTAAGGCCACATGCTAAAGCTATTTTTTCCCCTCCCTACTAGACCTACAAGGAGGAACAGGAAGAAATTTAAGGTAAATTAAGAGTAATAGCAAGGTATTGACTTGCTAAGCTAACTTATTGAAGTCTTTTAGATCATATGAGGCTTGAAATCAGAGAGGTAGAAAGAGGGAAATGACAGACAACATACTGAAAATGAAAGATTAACTCAGAACATGAGAAGTTTGCATGGATTTTGAAGTCAGCAGTAA